ATATAAAAACATACTTACATATATAAAATAATTTTTAGTTAATTTTTTGCTTAGCTCTAATTGTTCGCAGAATACTGCTTAGTTATAATTTTGAAAGCCATTTTTGTGATGTTTTTATTTACGTACTTTTTTGTAAAGGAAAAGGAAACTATAAAGCGAAATTTAATATTTTTTTGCTTCTATCAACAAAAAAATGTGAATAAAAAGTTAGTAAAATAATAATTAAGAAACATGTTAAGTGCATTGAATTGAAGTAAATATTAACATAACCATATAAATAAAAACACAAAAAATATTTTGTTTGAAACAGAAAATAAATAAAACATAAAAACAAAAAATAATTAAGACATAAATAATAAATAAATTAAAACAATTAGGTTTAAGTTGTAACTTGCAGTAATAATTTTCAAATTGGTCTCAAAACAACTTTTTTGTTTTTATTTGCATAAATTGCTTAAGTACTCTGGAAATATTTGTGAATATTCGAATATGTTGAAATTTGGTATAGCTGTTGTGTTGTTTGTTAAAATTTTGTAATTAGTCGAAAAACGCTCAAAAGAAGTTAGCTATTTCAAGCATTTAATTTTAATTAATATTTACAAAGCTTTAAAGATTTCACTATGTTAAAAAAGTTAAACATGTTACGAAAGCCGTTCAGCAAAGGCTTTTGCAAAGCTTTTATTTTCAATACTTTGCTTATCAAAAGCTTTTCCCAGCAGTCCGCTAGCATTATTTTTTCTCCTAAAGTTCTTCACTTTCAAATCTTTCAATTTACAAAACCATATCGAAATTCTATAAAAATAACTAAAAAAGATTGAGCAGAACTTCTTGCTTAAAGTTTACTTACATTGCTCTCATCTTTTCTGAAATAATCAATAGCTTTTCCCAAGTGTTCTAAAGCACAATTTTAACATATACAGCGTTTGATGAAGCTTTCACTTATCAAATCATTTTCAAATTTTGCAATTTACAAAACTAATCCAACTTGCAAAACAAAACTGACTAACTAACTTGTAACAGAATTTAAAAAACAACCACTTTCTGATCTCAAATACGCAGAAAATTTACAGAATTCACACAAAATGGATTTCGCAAGCCAAAGTAAATGAAGTGAAAGAAATTTATGCAATATACTTTTGGATCAACAGTTCGTTTACATTAAATTACACAATAGTTTATATTTTCGTTGTGAAAACTTCAAGAAGCTCAACACTTCAAATTCATTTCAGATTTTATTACAAATATAGCAGAGTATAAGCATAAATAACAAAATTTACTTGAAAAAGCAAACTTAAAGAAAGCTCATTTTTGCAATCTTTATAGCTGAGCTTAATTTATCGTAAAATCATACAAATTAATCGATAAGCATGAAAAGCAACATTATATTTCACGTAGCACAATGTAATAATAAAAAATTTTAATACACCAATATTTAATTTTTATAGGATATAATGTGTATAAAATTTGCCGGTAAAGCTTAGCAAACCTGTACAGCAATTTATGCAAACAAATAAAAATCGAATCAAAAAAATAGTTTAAATAATAAACATAAAATTTATATCTTAAAACAATTCCCAAAAATCACAATGATCTCAAGATGAAAAATATATAATAAATTATAATTTTCTACAGAATTATTTTTATTTTGCATTTTGCATATAAAATCTATGATATATGCAGTTAAGTTAGTGTAATAAAATTTGCGCAACTTGAACAATGACAAATGCCACTCAAACCGTAAAAATCATTAGGTAAGGAAACAACAAGAACACCAGCATTATTACAACAACCACCAATTCTAATTCTTCAATGGAATTAAACCGCAGTTATAAGTTAAAGTTTTGTTTAATGCATAAATTAAATATTTACCGTTAATTTTATATTTTTAAACATTTTAAAGTTTCGTTAAGTCTCACGGCTACGAATAGTTTAAAAGTGTGTTAAATAATAACACAGTAAAGGCAGGTGATTGCAAAAATTTCTTGTCATTAGACGATTTTTCGCTATTATATAATAATTAATTAATTGCTAGTTGAATTGGACAATATATATGTACATAGTAAATAGTTGTAATTACTCAAGTTTTGTAAGAATATGTGCCTAGTTGTAATTTTTTTTACAATATTATTTTGCCCTTAATAATATTAAATCACATTTGTCGTGAGAGTTGTTTGTAAATAGCGGGACAAAAACTTTTATTATAGATGTACAGAATACATACATACATTTATTGTAGTATAATTGAAAATTTCACATAAAATACTTTTTGAATTCGAGTACATTTTTCGACAGTTTCCTTACATTGTCTAAAACTATAAATAACCGTTAAAAGCTTTCAAATTGCACTATCATAATAATCTCTGAGTTCAAACACTTTTGTAAATTATATGTAAGTTTCTCGATGTATTTCAAAATCACTGTCAGTTTACAGAAAAGCTCTTCACCAAGCTTACAGAATACTCTTTCTTACCAAAAACCTCACGGTAGCGTGGCTTTAACTAATTGTTGAAACTGCAGTACATAAACTAAACTTAATTTTGGAAATTAAAACATAAAAACTTGTTAAGCCAATGATCTGCACCTGAAAGCTCCTCAAATATAAAATCTAGATATTTATAAAAATGTGAAAAAATTGTGTAAACTCCTCTGAAAGCTTATACACTAGCCACTCTCCTTCAAAATTACCATAAAGCTCTCACAAAATACATAGAAAGCTCTCTTAACTCTCCGTTAAGTTAAATACATATACTCATACTCATTTCAGACATATTTTATTCTCAGCACATACTCGATTCAAACCATTTTACTCAATAAGCAAAATATTTTTCAATAATATTCTCATAATATTACAACAACAATAGACACATTTATTTTTTTTTAAACCGGAAACAAATAATCAACAAACAACAAAAACAAAAATACGAAACGATCCGAAACCAAACGAATAAAATTTTAATTGAACGATTTGTAAATTTTTAACAAATGAGCCACGTAAATCCAAAACAGGTTTGAAGCTTCAAGAAATATGAATATTTTCATACAATTTTGAGTTGAACGGTCAGCTACTGTTAGTTGAGTTTAACGTGCGCTCATTTCTAATAGTTTTCACAATGATCTCGGTATATTTTGTACTCACACAATTAAGGGAACTTTCAAAGCGTTACTGAAAGTAATGAAAAAAGTTAGTTTTGGAAATATTTCGTTTAATTTGTGCAAGTTGCCAATTTTCACGGGCTCACAGTTGTGACTTGGTTAATATGCACTGTTGCCAATTTTCACTTACATCGTTTTCATTACTTCACCACTTTATTAACGCTGTTTGAATGCCCCTGGGGTGAGTGTCCAAAAACGCATACACTTAAAAAATTCTGCTAATATTTAGTAACATTTTTAGCCAGTTAGATGAAGTTGCATTTATATAAATAAAAAATATTT